CAGAAAACAACACTAGAGAGACACAAAGATACACAGAGAGTATCAATGAGCTAAAATAATTTAAAAACAAACTCTAGTAAACTTTTATAGCAAGTTGAACCTCACCCATATATTTATATGATTTAGTTGTAAAATTGCTAACAGCTGTAACAAATATTCAATGCCTCAGATTTACTGAAACAATTCTTCTGTAGTTTTCTAGAACATGGTGGGAAATGTCCCATACAACAGAAAACTATAATTTGGCAGAGAGTAAAGAAATAAATAACTACAACATTACCATTATTTTCACCAAAAAACCCCTAACAATCATAAAATAGCAGAAACATGAAGTAATTACTAGTTTTTTTATTCCAGGCAATCAAAAGCCTATTTTCAACGAGTATTACTGTCTGAACAAATTTTTCCCCTGAAACCAATTCCACCACCCTTTCTTTAAGTGTCACCATCACCTACTTAGTTATGTAGACTCTAAGTCAGAGATTCTCATAGCAATGAAGATGGAGACAGAAGCCGGAAAGGAGTAGTTAGGGGTCCAACCTCACGACAAAAGATGGTTACTATGCCAAGGGCTCACCATCCCTCTCCTCCAATAAAATTAAGTTACTTAACTTTGTTGTTATTCTCAGGAATTCTGGGGTATAAAAAGGTTAAAAATGTACTAAAGTTAAAATTAGCAATTTAGTAATTTAGAAGATAAAATAATAGTATAGAAAATAAAGACTGGGAACAGTGGCACATGCCTGTCATCCCAGCACAAGGCAAGAGGATCACTTAAGGCCAGAAGTTCAACACCAGTATGGTCAACGTAGTAAAACCCTGTCTCCACAAAAAATAAAAAATGAGCCAGGCATGGTAGCACATGCCTACAGTCCCAGCTACTTGAGAGGCTGTGTGGGAAGAAGCACCTGAGTCCAGGAGTTTGAGACTGTAGTGATCTATGATTCGCATCACTGTACTCCAGCCTAGGCAACAGAGAGAGCAAGACCCTGTCTCAAAAAAAAAGAAAAGAAAAGAAAAAAGAAAATAAGCACTAGGAATACAGAAGGCTGGGTTCCAGTCTAAACTGTGCTATAGATTAATTGCATGACCCAGGACAAACTGTGTGAACTCTCTGCTCAGTTTCATTTTCTCTAAGATCAAAAGATTTAGTTTCTTCAAGACCTAACTACTTTTATTATAAATTACTCTGGAAACATAACAATACTAAGGAATATACAGCTAAATGCATAGGATATGTTTAACAGTCTCTTCTGAATTAATTTTTTTAAATCTAGGAATGTAAAGTAAAAGATCTCAATTTGCAAAAACACTTTTTTGGGGTGCTACTTCATGAATTTCATACCTACATAATAATAGTTACTGTTCTAAGCCATAGAATAAGACGAACAGAACAAGCCCCAAGCAATGACTGGTACTTGAACAATTTAATCGCTGCGATGAATTCTGAATGAACGTCAAGCCAGGCAGGCATTTCTAGATAGCTGATTACTTTTCATAAAGACATGCTTAACTTCAATGGCAGTGTTTTCTTTCTGAATTATTTAGAAAACTGGTTAGTCTCACTTAACAAAATTATTTTAAAGTAATTCACTTCTTTATTTCTACCACCAAACCTTTCCCACCTATTCAAGTACCCTGACTCTTACTGCCACTGAATTAAGCTTTTTAGGACTCTCACACACTAGTGAGCTTGACTGCTTGTAAAACCTTAATAGCTGTGAAGTATAAACACTAAAAAAAAAAAAAAAAAAAAAAAAGTCATTACTAGTGAGGAGAATTATTTAAAGCTTAAATTCATTGCAGTGAAACACATTCTGCTTAGAGTGGAAATTAACATTTTCAAAGAGTAACATTTAACATAATCCTTCCTTAAAAAACAAAATCCAAATACACTCCAAAAATGCTAAGCAAGGAGTCCATTTTAAAGAGAAATGAATGAATACGTGTGAAAGTAAAAAAAACAGATTATATACCATCTTTGAAAGTACTAAAATACTTAAATATAAAAAAGCAAATCCATTAATTTTTTTTTTCTTTTATATCACAGAAATGTGGCCTAGGTAAAAAGATAGGTCTTGAATTATGCCATGGACTTTTTTTCCTTAAGGAAGTCTCTTATGTGTTTACAAACACTAAAATAAAAAATGAATTGTTCGTTCCCAAAGGTCCCTAGAACATTCCTTATAAAACTCAAAGGATCAACTATTTCTTCCTCTTATCTTTTTCTCCTATTTTCCTCTTATTTTTGCAGTTAGTAAAACGGTGAAATTTTTCATTTTCTTCCTTTAAGTGTGACAGTACAATGTCCCTTCAGAAGGTTGGTAAATAATTTTAAGGGATAACAAGCAATGACAAATATTGCCAAAAAAGTAAAGGGAGCATATTCCATTTATTCTAAGTACATTAAATATGGTTTTAATGTTATCACAACTGAAGAACCAATATATACTTCCACTTATGGACTAAGATAATCAGATCAAGTACAAAGAATTAGTATATTCTAATCACATCTAAAGCACTTTGCATTAAAGAAGTATATATTTTTTCTGGAAAAACATGGTCAGGGGTCATGCTCTTGTAGAAAGCAACTTTTTTTTTTTTTAAAGCCCAGAGGCATAATACCTGCAGTTTTCTCTGGAGACATACTTCTTCAATAATCTGTTTTCCCCCTCAGATTTAACAAACAGATATATACTGTTGCTTTGCACTTACTGTTATTTCACAAGCTACCCTTAAATCCTCAGATTTATTTGATCAAAAGTACAATAATTCAGCATCTGAATTATTACATCACGTTTTTATATTGGCTTCATAAAGAATGAATATACTGAGAGTTCAAAGTAAAAGCCAACCAAGCATTTCTCTTTCACCTAATTTTTTAAAACCACTTGTCTCAAAAATCATTGTAATTATTCAAGTATTGATACCAGGAAAATTATAAATCAATTGTACTTTTCACTTTTCCACCCGTCATAGATTTTTTTGTAGGACACAGATCACAAAAGTTCCTCTAACTCTTCCCCAATTCACTATAAATGATACTATCTACAAGTAACTGAAGAATATATAAGATAAATTGTTTAAAGATATCACGTACTTAAATAAACACTAAAAATGAAATTCCAGTTTTCATTTTTAAAGCTGAACTATCCACACGTTCCTATAAAACATTCCATTCTCCAACTGATAAAATATTTAAGAAACTGAAACATACATTAGAAAATATTAGGAAATTACTATGAATCAAAATAATTTTTTCCTTTATCTTCCAATAATGCAACCATCTTTACTTTTGAAAACAAAAATGTTAACATGCTTTCATTTACATATTAGGTTTTTAGTTCCCTCAGCAGTAAAATTTGTTTTTTAAAAACACAAAAATTTTAAATTTAAGTTTTTATAAGCTATTTTCCTTCAGTAATATCTTGCCTTAGTATATGATTACACACCGTAAAGCTCAAATCATCCTGAGCAGCACCATGAGAGAAGAAACAACATTACCTATACAGTACATTGCTGTTTATCTGATATTCAGTGAAAGGGGTCCACTGAAGACTAACTGACAAAATGTATGTAAATCCAGCTACACATAACTCCTTAAACATGAAGGAAAGAAACACTTAAGAGTAAGAACCTCACCAGGACTAAAATCCAGGTACTGACCCTCAGTCTACTGGAACAAACGCAGTCACATTTTGGGGAAATAGAAAGTACTACGTTCTCCAATTCATGTGCCTGGAAATACAATTCTTTAACCACCAAGAGCAAAAAGAAATGAAAATAAATCTAAGATCTAAATTTAGTTGTAAATCAGAAATATTGAATACTTTAAAAAGAATACTGGCAGCAAACAGCCTGTCTGCTACAGTAAAATCTCACCATCCCTCCTAAATCTGGTTTTCGGTGCATGTGAAACCATGAAAATGGCAATTCAAAGAAGAGAAATGCCTTATCCATCAAAATTTACAGTGCTTATTTCAAAGAAGACATAAAAAATCCAGATGTATCGTCCCGAACTCCCAGGGATAAAGAATACTGAAATTCTTCCACGGGTAAGGAAAAAAGGAAACAAAACAAATTCCCAAAAAAACTTAAGATATTTTAAAGGTAAGAGGTAACAATTTACAGTTCCAGTAGCATATACTTAGTTCCGACTAATGATAAATCAACAGCAGTTGTATGCCCACCAACTGCAGCCCAAATATGCGAAATCAAAGAAAGGGGCTTTGGGAACTTGTTTACAGTAAAATGAGCAAAAAGAAACAAGAAAAATCTTTTCCAATGAAAGAAAAATTAGAAGAGAAAGAAGACAAGAATAGGCAGCCTTGGTGTCGAAAGTGGGGGGGGGGGCTGGAAAGTGAAGGTTGTGGGGGAGGTGGAAAAGCAGCTCAGAGGTTGTACCTTGGGGAAGGGGAGATAGAACTGTCTGGATAAATGGGCAGACTCCCCCAACCTGGAGGGCTGGATTGCGGCTGGCTAGGTTAATTTCTCCACGCTTCTTTTACCACGATCATGAAAATTACAGAGTTAATCAAAGACCGTCAGCCTTACATTTTCCCCATTAACACAGACTGGATGTCAGCAGCAAACGGATGGGGGTGACGCGGAAGGGCGCAACAGCATCTCGGTTAGAAAGGGAAGAAACTTCACAAGAGGAAGCAGCAGCTTCTCTCCTGGCCCCTAGCACCGGCCGGTGAAGTTGCGCCACAGGCACCCCTTCCCCGGCGGGCGCCCCCCCCTCACCGAACTACTACGCTGCACCATCCTTCAAACTGCCCCCGAAGTCCAAGTACTCCTCCGCTTCCTCCTACCCGCGGACCCATCCCAACTAAGTTCCAGGCGAAGCTCCTGCCCAGAGCATGGCCTGTTCCGGACAACAGGTGGGCAGCAGCGCCAGCAGGGCTGGGCCTCTCCTGGCCAGGCCCACTCCACTCCTCCCCGGCCCAGGGCCGGGGGTGCCCGGCTCCGGGACAGGGAGGGGGAGCTAGCTCCCTTACCTCCGCCATATTTGCCGTACTGCCGGGTCACATCTCCGCGGCGGCCGCAGCTGGGTCACGGCCAGAACCCGGATGTGAGACTCAGCAACGGGACTCCGGCCGCTGCCGTCTCTGCCGCTCCCGCCGCCGCTGCCTCGGCGGGAACGCGCAGGAGCCGCCCCAGCGCGCCCACCACACCCCACTCCGCCCCCTCGCGGCGCCCCAGCTGGGCTGGACTGGAGGGAAAAGGCCAGCGAGCACGCGCCGGAGCAAGGGCGCGCGCGAGGGCGCGCGGCCCCGTGGCCAGCCCCCCCCCCAAGCGAGGAGGGGGCGGAGTCAAGGTGGGTGTGGGAGGAGGTGGGCATCGGAGCGGGCGCTTCTCCGGCTCCAGCTGATCCAAGACTCCAGGCGGAGGAGGGTGTCTAGGGAGCAGAGAGGTCAAAGAACAGTGCCAAAGGAACCACGTCCAGCATTGACACAGCAGGGGAAAAATACGTAATATTTTACATGTAGGTCGTTTTTGCAGTGCATTTGCTGAAAAACGGATGTTGCTGTGATGCAACAGCAGCAAGAACTGTGCTTTCAAAGCGGTTATGCCTTGACAAATATTTCTCCATCAGTAGATTCCCCACAGGAAACGTCAAATCCTCTATTCCCAAATCTCTAGGGCGGTCAGAGAAAAAAATCAATGTAAGGGGGTTGTGATGGGCAGTCTGCCATCCTCATGTCATTTGAGTTTTCTCACACACTTCTGTAATGCCAGTAGCTACACAGCTATGTACTGGTTGAATTTTGCACAGCTAGACAAAACTTAAAATACTGAAAACTGATTATTTTATGGATATCGTCTATTTAACAGCACGGAGGGAGAACGTACTTCTTGCAATGCCTGAAATACCTGTAACTTGAAAGTTAATTTTAATGTATTGGCCTAGAGCTGCCAATTGGCCATGATGCCAATGCTGATGATGGCCAGAGCCAATGATTTCAACGTAACAAACGAGTTTCACTTCCATTATACTAAGGCAGATTCGGAATAACACAAAGGTGACATTAAAACAGTCACTAACATATTTTACCAAACCAGTTTTAAGAAACATATTTTACTAAACCAGCTTTAAAGTCTTTATTTCAAAAGACTGGGATTTTTTCCCTAATCTTCAAGGGTTCCTCTTAACGAAGTTTCAAAAGTGACTACCAAAATCAACGATTTAAATATGAGAATTATTCACTCCCTCCAAATAATGTGAACCAATGCTATTACATTGCATAAATGTATACATATACAATTTTTCCTAAAGTTTATACTTATAATGCTATATAGGGGAGGCTATTATTTATATTCCCTTAACATTCTAGACTCTATCAAGCGTTTGCCTACTTCCAAAGATTCAACGTTAATTTGAAACTGTTATGTCCAAAAATAATCTGTGCATGAATAAACTGCATTTACAGATATATGAAGTAGCTGCTAAGTGAAAGGACATTACCTGGTAATTTGACAGGAAAAGAGTCCACAGACAGTCTGTAAACCAATTAAACATAAACATCTGATGCACATTTTCTACTGAAAGAAAAGCAAGGGAAAGAAGAGAAAGGAAAACTTTAAGGTTCCCAAATCTACAAACAATTTTTACCATTAACTGTACTGTACAGTATTTGCATTTTATTTTTTAGAAAATTTCTATAAAAGTATTTTTCAGGATTCCTTGGGGGAATAAATATTTTAGCAGAAGTATACAGTTTCTCAGTTACCCTGTTGAATTATATCAATCCTTTGGACTTGAAATAAAAATGACTTTTTAAAAATGTCAGTTCATATCCAAAGTTTTCAATCAATATGCTTAATGAAAAGAGCTGAAGGCAAAGAACAATGGATGTACATGGACCTGAGGTGGGTACAGATACAATTAGGGGCCTAAAAGTACAAACTCAGGTTTTAAGTTTTCCATTAAAACATGAAAGCTAATTTATGAAATTTAGCTGGCTACCAAAGGAAAATTAAAAGTGTTAAAATACAAAGTAAAGGAAAAACGTGCTTGCTTAAGTACACTGAATCTTTGATTTTTCAGTTAAACTACCCATAGAAATTCTAACTGTGATAAAGAGCAGGGGATCATAGTCAGTTAACCCACTGAATAAATCCTAATATTGTCAGGAAAATGGAAGTCTGAAACATTTCTGAATGGGTATCTATCTTACTGTTAAATAATTTTTTGTTTATTAATATTGTGTGTCAATATTACTAGCTTTAAATGGTATTATAATTGAGGGAAAAATATCTCTCTAAAAATTTTTCTCCTTCCCCTTTTTATAAATGCAGGTTCAGTGGGTGTTTTAAATTCAGATACTACAAAAGAGAAAGAGCTCTAATTCTGCAATTCACAGGTAACACATTACCACTGAATTCAGTATCCTTCCACTATTATTTTACTCTAGTGACACACTTATCTGTAAAATTTTCAGGAGCAACCTTAGAGAACAAAACTCCTTTCTCAAAAACGCTTGCTTATCCTCTTCAGTATTAAATATATAAAAATTAACCATTAGCTAGTCATAGAATTTTAGTGTTGGATGGGACCTTAAAGGTCATTTTAGTCAATTCTCTACCCTGTCAAGATAGGAGTCTCTCATCATGCTTTTACTAGGAGGCTTTTTGCCTATGTTTAAACACCTCCAGTGACATATTACATCTCATAAAGAGGCTGCTCTAAATAAAAGTTCAAATGTTTAAAACATCCTTTCTTTTATTAAGCCAGAATCTACCTCCTTATTGTTTTCATCCATTACCTTTAGTTCTTCAGCACTTTGGATTAATTCAACAGATACCTTCTTTGTATCCAAATGCAAACAGTTAATATTTATACTTGGGTTAACAAAAAATTATCTTTAAAGCTTATTCATACTAGAAGAGCTGAAAATAGGACATGACAGAGCTAAAAGCATAAGAAAATGCACCATTAATTGTCTGCTTAAAATTATTACACTGTTATTTATTAATGTGATATCAAAAACAGCAGTTGTTGGAATTGTGTATAAAATCTTTAAACTAAAAAAGTATGGTGAATTTCAATTTTATGTGAGGTTTGTGATTAATGTCCCAAAACAAAAAACCATTATATAAAACCTGAATAAATGCCTCTTTAGCTCCTATCCCCACCTAAAGCCTTCTTATTTTCAGGCAATCTAACATTAATTTTTATGACATTAAGCTACTCAAAACTGCTATTATATTGATAAATTATTTGTAAGCAATTTACCGAATCTTCCATTCAAAAGTTATTAAACAATTTTATAGAGGCTATAAGGCGCGCGCACACACACGAACCCTTCAGTTATTATTATGCTTTTAACAGAAGTATTTAGGATCGCAATCTTACTTCAACCAGTACCTTAAACGAACCAATCAACAAACTTCTTTGGCAATTTACATATACCTAAGAAATATAACCTTTTATTCAGTACCAACACCTGATTCAAATATAAGTAATATATATATATCTATTCTATAAAAATCTGTGATGCAATCCAAAAAGGTACCTCTCAAAACGCACCAAGAAAATATTGTACTTGTAACAATTTAGACTCTGGGGTTAGCTGACTGAAATAGATTAATACAACACATCTAAAACTCTAAAAAAAATTCTATAACAATTTTTAGGGTTCATGAGTTTCTTTTAAAACTCCTGAAATTTTTATTTAAAAGCAACAGCCTATACCCTATCTTTATGATGTGGTGGTAAAATTTTATGGATAATTACTAATTTGCATGAAAATACCTAAATACTAAAAAAACTTAACCCATTACATTTGGAAGCCCCACATCTATAGTGACAATCAGTATCAACTTATTGTTAGTTTCATTTTTATTATTAATGCCACTCTAAAACTTATATAGGTTTCTGGTTCTTCAAACAACTGTTTTGGATTTTCTTTTCATAATTTTTACAGTTTTATTCAGTAGCCTCATTTTATCAGAATATTATAAACTAGTATGTTTATGGTTGTTAAATTGTTGACATGTTATTTTTATCTCACCCAAATTCTGGAAATTATTGGCCCATCAGTTCTCAAATACTGGAACATATAAGAAGAGTAATATAATACTTATATTACGTGAGGGAGTTTGGATTTTCCCTCCCTTAATCTCCAAGTGTACCCCTGCCTACCAGCATCACATCCGTCTTGTCTGCATTGAACCTCAACCAGTTGGTTCTTAACCACGTCCGAAACTCAGCCAGGCACTGGGAGAATCGAGCGACCACACCATCTGGATCAAAGGAAAGAGAGCCTCAGTAGCAAGGAGACAGAAACGATGATACATGCTCACCATCCACCCTGTTTCACATTTTTAATAAAATGTGATGGTCGGGAATTAGGACAAGGATCCCATGACAATTGTAGAAAAACATTTAATGAGCCTTAAGTCATGCAATTTGTAACCAATGGTAAAGGAATAAAAGTGACCCAATAAATTGGTCGCCTCATTCCACCTATGAGTGGAGAAGGTTCAGTCAACTCCGGGTCATTTTGGTGAAGCGGCCTCAATAGCCAAGCCAGTCTTGTAATTACATAATTTCTTCCGCAGAAGTACAGAATTTTAGCTTTGGAAAAAGCTTTAAATAGGTAAAACTGAAGCCCAGAGAGGGATAGTGACTCGCTCAAGGTCACACAGCATGCAGGGACCACAAACAGGTTCCAAGCCAGGGACCTAGCCACTACAAGCTGAAAGAACAAGAGTGAAGAGTGGCGGACATCTGTCCCAAGGGTTCCTCCCACGCACTAGGAGGACCTCGCTTCCTCACAGTAATACCCTATTCGAGTCTCTCCTCCCTTCCTCACTCTCTCCGAAAAGGGCAGGTTGGCCCAGGGCGCTGCTCACCATTAAGGCTACAGGGCAAGCAGGAGCCTCACCGGGCTGAGACCCAAGTGAGGGAAACACAGGGGACAGAGGCGGAGCCACAGCGGGGTGGCCAGCTTAGCCCCACCCCGACTGGGATCAAGGCCCGACAGGAGAAAGGGGCGGAAGCGAACGGGGCGAGGCGAACTCACTCCGCAACGGATTCCCAGCGCGCCGCCGCCACCGCGAAGGCAAAAAGGCGGCGCAGGGAGGGGGTGGGCGGCGTATGGCAGCTGCGCATGCGTCTTCGGCTGCCGGCACCGCTCCGCGCGGCGAGCTAGCCAGGCGCGTTCTGCGGCAGTCCCTCCCCGGAAGTTAAGGGTCTTCCGGTAGGTACACTGCTGTGGGGGAGGGGAAGGAGAGAAAGGGGACTGAGGGCACCTCAGGAGCCCCTCATCCCAAATTGGAACAAAAGGGGAGAGATGGCTTGTGGAGGCTGCACTTACAGCCGCTGCCGCTGCTGCCGCCGCCACCTTCGCTGCTGCCGCCACCGCCTGAAGAAGCCCCATCCATCCGCCTGCAGCCGGGAGACTCAGAGCCTGGGAGGGGCCTCAGGCCCGGGCCGCCCGCCTCCTTCTTCTAGTCGTCGTCCGGAGCTTCCTCCTGCTCCACCAACCCTCTGCCCTCCCCTCCGCCTCCGCCCTCCTCCTCGGCCTCGTGCCGCCAGCCAACCGCGCGGCCGCTTGTTGAGCCAGGGCTCCACCGTCGCCATGACGCCCGGCAAACATTCTCAAGCCTTAGCCCGAGCCGCTAACGCCGGGGTTTGAGGTACAGAGACTTCAGAGACGGCCAGAAAAGAGCTGGTGGACCCCTCCCCAGCTGGTCGCTACCATGCCAGTCTCTCCGGCAGGCAGTCACAAGCAGCAGAACTTCGGGTTGTAAGTTCCGGCGCTAAAACCGTAGTCCATCCCCGTGGGTCCCGGAGGGTGACCTTCTATTATGGATACCATTTCTGGATTTGGAAAGGGCCTTACTCTACGTGGGTTCCGTCTGTAGACCTCGAAGCTCCCAGGCGACAGTGCCTCCTTTATCGACCTACTACCCTTTTAAAAAAATGATCTTCTGCTGTGCTTGCTGTATGAGAAAAGACCTGGTTTGTTTAGAACCATCCT